GGAGAAGGGGGAGGAGTAGGAGGATTAGGAGGAGGAGGAGGAGGAGTAAACGTATGAGCAGTCTCAGAGGAGGAGGACAGGGACTATGAGGACAATCAGGAGGAGGAGCGGGAGGACGGAGGAGGAGGAGGAGGAGGACCCGGCGCAGGGTGCGTATCATCAGGAGGAGAATGGGGGCAGAGGTAGGGGGAACGGGGTGGGAGGTGGCGACGGAGGAGAAGATCGGATGGCGGCGCGCACACATGTATGCATGTATGCATGCATGCATGTATGTGAATATATGCATATATATATATATATATATGTGTACGTATGTATGTTTGTATGTATGTATGTATGTATGTATGTATGTTTGTATGTATGTATGTATGTATGTATGTGTGTATGCATGTACGCATGCATGTATGTATGTATGTAGGTAGATATGTAGGTATGTAGGTAGGTATGTGTGCATGTATATATATACATATATATATATATGCATGCATGTGTATGTATGGATGCTTGTATGTATGTGTGTGTGTGTCGTTGTGTGTATGTATGTGTGTATGCATGCATATATGTATGTATGTACATGTGTGTATGTATGTATGTATGTATGTATGTATGTATGTATGTATGAATGTATGTATGTATGTATGTATGTGTCTGTCTGTCTGTCTGTCTGTATGCATGCATGTATGTATACATGTATGTGTGTATGTATGCATGCATGTGTGTATGTATGTATGCATGTATGCATGCAATCATGCATGCACACATGTGCGTATGTGTGTATGTATGTATGCATGTGTATGCAGTTTGTATGTGTATACATATATGTATGTACGTGTATGTATGTATGCATGTATATATAGGTATATGTATGTATGCGTATGCAGTTTATATGTATGTGTATGCAGTTTATGTGTGTATGTGTGTATGTGTATGTGTGTATGTGTGTATGTGTATGTGTGTATGCGTGTATACATGTATGCATGTATGCATGTATGCATGTATGCATGTATGCATGTATGCATGTATCAATGTATGCATGTATGCATGTATGCATGTATGTATGTATGTAGGTATGTAGGTATGTAGGTATGTAGGTATGTAGGTATGTAGGTATGTATGTATGTATGTATGTATGTATGTAGGTAAGTAGGTATGTATGTATGTATGTATGTATGTATGTATGTATGTGTGTATGTATGTGTCTGTTGTTTAGATGTGTATATATATATATATATATATATACATGCATTCGTGTTTCTACACTATTGCGTTCCTGGGGGGTGGGGGAATCCCCCGCGAAAAAGCCGGACCCCCGAGGTCCATGGCCCCGCGGGCCTCCTGGACGCCCCCGCCCCACGCTCTCCGGGGCTCCCGGGGGCCCCTGCCGGCCCCGGGCAGCGGGCCCACGCCGGTCAGCCCGGCCGCCGAACGGCCCCGTGAAGACCCCAAGAGGCCCCATCAGAGCCCCGAATCATCAGGGGTAACTCGGGTCAGGGCTAACTCGGGTTCGCTTTTCGGGATTCCGAACCCGAGTTGCCCCGGCCCCGAGTTACCCCGGATAATTCGGGCGTCCAGAGCCCCAAATCATCAGGGGTAACTCGGGTCAGGGCTAACTCGGGTTCGTTTTTCGGGAATCCAAACCCGCGTTACCCCGGACCCGAGTTACCCCGGATAACTCGGGCGCCCAACCCCCCACCCGACACCCGGCGACGACCCAGAGAGACGCGCAAGATGCTCTCGAAGAGCAGAGAAAGGAGCACTGATTGCCAATGGCTTTCGCACGATGTTAGGGATGCTTTGTTCTTCTGCCTTCTGGGCGTCCAGGACCGCCCAGGAGGTTCGAAAGCAGCCCCACAATAACGCAAAGGGGCGCCCAGGCAGTGCAAGAGAGTTCCAAGACGGTCCAACAGGGCCCCAAGATGACCCGGAGGGAGCCACATGACGGCCCAAGATGGCCCCAAGACGCCCCCCGAGGCATTTCAAATCGTGACCCAGTCGTTAAGGGAGACCGCGGTTGGAATCAGGGTGGCTCCCGAGAAATCCCCCAGAGGCCCCTAGAAGGCGCCCAGGAGGTTTCCAGAAGGCCCCAACAAGCCCTTACAAAATTTGCGTGAGGCCACCTTCAAGGAGGAGCCTCCGCAAAAAGAGGTCAGGAGGATTGGGAAGAATTCGCAGGGTTGGGCGAGAATGAGGAGAAGGAAGAGGAAGCATGAGGAAATGATAATGAATGACTGAATCACTCATGACGGCGATGTTTGAAAAAGCAACGCAGAGGTATCGCTAATTGTTCTGTCTGACGCTCCTGCCCTTCCGCCTGCATGCCCAACTTCAACGACCAATTAGCATGGCGCGCAGCGCCAAGGCAGTCTGTATTTTGTGTATATATATACATATATATATATATAGATACAGATATGCGTGTGGTCGGTCGCCCCCCAGCGCCTGCCCAGCCCTTTTTCTTCTTCGTTAAAACAAATGGTGTTATTGCTGTTTGCAGCGGCCGTTCGTCAGGACTCCACTTCGGCTGGGTTGCAATCGGATTCTTTGTGCCGCGGATTACACATTGATTCCCTTTGCGCAGCGAGTTCCAAACAGATGTTCTCCGTGGCGGCCAGGACGGGGGATATCAACAAACGCAACACGTTCAACAAAACCCAAGGACAAACCAAGCACCCCCCCCTGGCCACCAACAAAAACCAACAACACCTAGGATTGTTTAATTGTCCAGCACAGAGACTCTTTCCGCGGCAGGTTACAAAAGGATTATATGTGTGGCAGCCTTGCAAATTGATTCCCTGTGTGGCGGATGATATTTTTGGACGACGGGTAACAAAGGTGTCCCTTGCGTGGCGGCCTGAAACAAATGATTCCTTTTGCGACGGGAAGGCAGGGACAACAAACATAAGCACCACCACTAACACCGCCACAGGAAACAAAGCAACACAACATCATTGACCAACAAGCCAATGAAACCGAAGCGTCGTCCGGTTTTTCACCCCAAAGAACAGAACTGGATTCGCGGCAGCATCACAGGAGGATTCGTCTTGTGGTTTGGTTTACACCAGAATTGCGTTTTGCGGCGGCCTTACAACATCATTTCTTTGGGAAGGCCTTAGCGGCCAGGGCACGGGCATCCATCAAAAGCAACACAACCAACCAAACCGAAGGAACAACAACAACACCTCCCTGGCCACCAACAACAACCAACGACATCTAGGTTTGATTAGTTTTGCCATTCCGCACGAAAAAGGTTTTGTGTAGCGGGGGTACCAACGGATTCCGTTGGAGGCAGCCTTATGACGGGTTGTGCAAGGATTATTTTCGATGCGGGTTACGAACGGAATATTGCTGTGGCGGCTTGGCAATCGGATCCCAGTCTGGGCGGGAAGGGCATGGAACACACAGAGATGGAACACAACCAATAAAACAAAAGGACACGCCGACAGCACCCCCCTGAGTACCCAAAACACAAACGAAATTTACGTGTCGTCAGTTTTGCGTCCCAAGCAACGGATGTTTTTGTTGTGACAGTTTTGCGGCGGATATCCTTGCGGGTTTACGTAAGAATTCGGTGTGCAAGGCCTTGCCACAAGGATGTCTTCCGTGGCGGCCAGGGCAAAGAAACCCAACATAGCAACACAACCACCAACATCAAAGGGCCAACCAACACGATCCCCTTGGCCACCCAAGAAACAATGACACCAAGGTTTCGTTTTTTTCCGCTCCGAACACACGAATCTTCTTCTTGTGGTGGGGCACGAGCGGGTTCCGTCTGCGGAAACTTTACAACATGACTTGTTGTTCATGTGGCGGAGGGTAACAAAGACCTTTCCTGTGGCGGATTACGAGGAACATCAATTTGCGGCGGCCTGACAACAGGGTTCAAAGGGTTCCCTTTTGCGGCGGGAAGGGCATGGAACACCAACACGCGCGACATAACCAAAACAACCCAAGCACAACCAAACGAAACCTCATTGGCTACGCAAGCAAACACAACACAACCTAGGTTGTTTGGTTTTGCCAGGCTGCCACAACATAAACCATTTGTAATACGCCACAACAGGAATCCTGCTGCAACCCGCCACACATGGAAACCTTCTTGCAAGGCTGCCACACAATAAACCCTTTTGTCTGGAATGGGGAAGTTAACGACGCCTAGATGTTGTAGGCTTTTTCTGTAGCCAGGGAGGTGTTCTTGGGTGTACCGCTGGCTTTGTTCATGTTGTTGCTTGTGCTTGTTTTCCATACCCTCCTCGCCCCAACGGGGACCCTTTTGTCAGGCCGCCACAAAAGGGATCCCATTTGTAATCCGCCGTATAAGGGATGCTGTTCTACAATCGGCCACACAATGACTCCTTTCTACGTCTGCCACGAAAAGAATTCTTTTGTAACCCGCCACAGAAAGAACACTTTTGTTTGGAATGGAAAAACTAACTGAAACTAGGTATTGTTGGTTTCTTGGTGGCCAGGTCGGTTTTGTTGCTTGTTACTTGGTTATGTTGGTTGTGTTGTTTTGCTGGTTTCCCCCGTCCTGGCCGCCACAGATAAAACCCCCCTGGAATTCGCTGCACAAAGGAAATGGGTGTGTAATCCGCGACACGAGAAATCCGTGTGCAACCCAGCAGAAGTGGATCCCTTCCGAACGGATTGGCCGAGCCGATGAGTTTGTCTGCCGGGATCAAAAAGCGCAGACAATTGAGTGAAGCGGTTGTGCATGTGTGAAATTACCAGTTTTGCGGTTTCGTGCGCTTTGGGCGTTCTTCACAGGCGGCCCACAGAGCACCCAGAGGCCCCCAAGAAGATCGAAGAACGCCCCGAAACGCCGACAGAGGCGTGCACCAAACACCAGATGGTTTGTTGGCGGCCCAACTGGCCTCCAAGACGCCCCAAGATGCCTCCAAGAACACTCCTCTGTAGCCATTTTGGCTCAAGCTCTCTTGGGCCCATCGTGCTGTTTAGATACTTGTAAAACTCCCGTGCAGCAGCTAGAGCTCCTGTCCGTCATGGCTTTCCGACTCGGCGGAGGCCCCGGCTACGCCTACGGAACTGGTCGCGCGCTCGGCGTCGGCGGTGCTTACGGCGCCAGCGGTGTGTACGGCGCCGGCGGGGCGTACGGCGCCGGCGGTGCACTCGGCGGCGGCGGCGCGGACTGCGGCACGGCGACCTGCGCCAACGCCACGGCCTGCATGGGCTGCGGCCCTGGCTGCGGCGTGGCCTGCGCCGAGGGCTCAGGCTGCGGCACGGGTGGCGCCACGACCATAAGCTACGTGGGCCCGGGGGGCGACTACGCCCAGGAGACCACCTACAGGTACGTCGGCATGGGTGCGGGCGAGTTCGGGGCGGTCCGCATCCCTGGGCGCGGCCCCAACATGTGCCTGATCTGCCTCGTCCCCCTGGGGCTGTCGCTCCTCGCGCTGCCATTCCTGATGTTTGCGATGGCGCCCGGCTCGACCACCACGACAACGACGACGACGGTGACGATGCCCCCCGCGCCCGTGCTTGACAGACCGACTCCCCCGCCTGACGCGCCGACTACTACCACCGAGAAGACCACCACCACGGCGGCGCCGCCCCCGCCGCCCCCGCCTCCGCCGCCTCCGCCCCCGCCTCCACCGCCCCCCGCGCCTACGGAGCCGCCCACCACCACGGAGAAGAAGATTAACTGCGGCGAGGGCGATGTCGTGTCCTGGGACGTGCCCAAGAAGGTCTACTGCTGCCTGCACGAGGGCAAGGGATGCCCGACGACACCGACTGCTCCCAGCACTATGCCGGCGCCGGTGCCAGTCCCTGTCCCCGTCACGGTCGCGCCAGTGGTCACCACGGCAAGGAGCACCACGTCCCCGTGCCCGATAGACTGCAACGCTGGATACAACGATCTCGACCCGCTGCAGTGGGTCCGCGGCTGGTCCGGCGAGAAGAAGCTCTACTGCTGCAAGACCGCGAACAAGGGCTGTCCCTCGGAGCTGCCCCCGCCCTCCGGCCTCCCGCAGGACGACGCCCCCCCCGAGAAGGACAACAGCGAGTACGACTGCGACGCGGGCTACCACCACTGCATGCACTGCCTGGAGCTGTCCTGGTCGCCGCAGAAGATCGACTACTGCTGCAAGAAGGAGCACAAGGGCTGCAAGGGCGAGGAGCCCGAGTGAGCGCCCCCTGCCCCGCCCGCTGCAATTACAGGCCTGGAACGTATCCATACCCGCTGTCCCTAGGGTTCGCATCGCCTCATCTCAATGCCGATCTCAAGACTTCCCTCAGTTTCTCAGGGCGCATCCCTGAACATTGTGATCGCCTTTTGCATGGTCTTTCTTAGGGATAAGGATAAGTTCGAAGGTGGTTGTGCGAGGCCGTCCGCGCGAGGGGCGCGGCGCTTCGCGGCGAGTCGCGAGCGGCTGTCCGCGCCCCCTGCTCTGCAGGGGAGGCTGGGCGCTTTCCTGGCCTGAGGGTCGACTGCCGAGGGTGTCGGGAGTGAAGGAGGAGGAGGGAGAGCGGTGGACGGCTGAGGGATAGGGTGGCTGCTGGAAGCGCACAGTCCGCTTGCTTTTCTTAGTTCGTCCATCTGGGCAGTGGCAGAGCGACGCCCTCGCGGGGGCCCGTCGGGCGGGAGGCAAAGCTACCCCGGCCCGCCCGGTCTCTCCAGCAGGGCGCCGCGGCATCTCCGACGCGGGCCCCACTCCTCTGCCCTCCTCCCCCTCCCCCTCCCCTGCTCCCTCGCCCTTGCACGGGAAATGAGCTCCGTGTTTCTCCTACCCTCTCCCCGTCCCTCCCCCGCGGCTGCACAGCCCTGTCCGTTTTCGGAGGCGCGGCCTTGCCTCTGCATCTGTGAGCTGCTGCAGACGTGCTCGTGTCCCTTTCTTCCCGGAGTCGCCCGCCACTCGTCGGCGGCCGCGAGGAGGCGATCGTTCGGCACCAGTGCCAAACAAAACAAAACAAAATGCCTCCAAGAACACTCCCACACGAGTCCCAGGAGCCACTAATCACGGATTGCCTTTCAAGTTCAAAGGAGGTCTCACCTATGTGCCTCTCCAGCTTCTCAACGCTCTCAGACGGCCCAAGAGGCCTCGGAGCTCGCCCCAGGACCGCCTCAGACAACCCCCAGCAGGTGCCAATGCAGCCCCTGGGAGGCCCAAAGGCGGCCCCGGAGGCGTCCCAGACGGCCCCCAGACGGACCAAGAGAGCCCACGGAGCCTCCTCCTCCTCCTCCTCCTCCTCCTCCTCCTCCTCCTCCTCCTCCCCAGGCGGCCTCCCCACAGCCCCAAGTGGGCCTCCCAGGCGACCGAAGATGCCTCGAAGAGCACTGCCGCGGAGGCCCGCGCGGCCAAGCAGGGTGCCGAGAAAGCTCCAACACCAGTGCAGGTTAAGTCGCGTCATGTGGTGCTCGCGTGACGATGACGATGATGATCATGATGGTGAGGATGACGACGATGGTGGTGATTACGATGATGATGACGATGGTCATGCTGATTAGTGCTGATGGCGGTGATGATGCTGATTACGACGGGAATGTTGGTGATGTTGCCGTTGATGAAGTTGATGAGGTTGTTGATGGTGATGATGATGATGGTGATGATGCTTATGCTGACGATGCTGATGATGCTGATGATGATGGTGATGATGATGCTGATGATTATGATGGTGATGCTGATGATCACCATCATGGTGATGGTGATGGCGATGGTGATGCATGTGATGATGTGGGTTACGATGTTCTGAATGGCGTCGGTGACGATGACGTTGACGATCATCACCCTGCCAGTGATCACGATTCTGATTCCGTCTGCTCTTCGATGCAGCGGCCGCACTCGTTGTTGGACCCGCCTGGAATGCGCTAGACCTTGATCGCGCGCGAAGCTGACGATGGTTATAGTATATCTCCATATATACAAAAACCTCGCATCTGCGCGCACGATTGAGGAATGCGAGATAGGCAGGTCTGCCGCTTCGCGCGCAAGAGAAATAGAGAGGGAGAGAGAGTGTGTGAGAGAGAGAGAGGAAGAGCGTGAGAGAGAGAGAGAGAGACTGAGAATGAGAGAACAAGCGACACTTGTGCGTGGACCATCTGTGTTGGGCTCGTGGATCGGTCCTGCGTGGGGGTCTTGTGTGTGCGTCCTTCGTGCGGGCCTGGTGGGTGCGCGTCGTCTGTGTGGGTCCCTTCAGTGTGTGGGTCCTGCGACGCTTGTGCGGGGTCCGCGTGCGGGCCCAGAGTGTGAGGAGGAGGAGGAGGAGGAGGAGGAGGAGGAGGAGGAGGAGCAGGAGGAGGAGGATCAGGAGGAGCAGGAGGAGCAGGAGGAGAGGGAGGAGAGGGAGGAGAGGGAGGAGGAGGAGGAGGAGGAGGAGGAGCAGGAGGAGAAGGATGAGGAGCAGGAGGAGGAGCAGGAGGAGGAGGAGGGGCGAGCTTACTTCCCGCCGAGGAGGGGGGGAGGGGGCTTCCTTAAAACTGAAGGCCTCCTGAGGTCTTCCTGCGCCCTGCCACTCGAGCTGCACTGTGCCTCCGTCTGCCCATCATCGGCATCCACCTCCTGCTCCGTCCCCTGCTCTTCTTCATTCGCCTCCCGCCCGCCGTTTCACGCCTGTCGTTGAAAGTCTGTCCCTCTTCAGTCATCCAGATCCCAATCTACTCTAGGCGCCCTCATACTGCAAGGGTCGAGCAGTTGCCCTTCTTCCCTCCTCTTCAGGGGGACGGGCGGGGGCCCAATCTTTTTTCGGCGCCGTCCTGCTCCATAGTGTTACCTACCTCTTCCGACCGGCGGGTACCCACTCCTTGAGAATCACCTTCATCGTCAGCCTCATCCCCGTTTCGGATTGCACCTCCAGTGCTGCTCAAAAACATGATCTCAATTAGGCGTCCATGTGTACTTCAGCTTTCTCATATCTGTACTCGTTCAAACCGCTTTCGGCCTTGCATGTTTTACATCTTAAGCTCACGTCTTGACTTGCAAAGGTACACCGCCATCCCGCACCTACACTGCAACACCCAATGTAGACCAACATCAAATTATCAACTGAACTCTGATAGGTATGATGGTTGCCTGGGCCCTGCCACTCTGCTAGATGCAATAGCGCGCACCTGCTGTGCGATCGTGCTGCTCGCATCCTCCGCAACGTCCTTGCCATCATCATTCCCGCACGTGTCCTCTGCGGCATGGGCCCTGTGGCGCGCGAAGGTTTTAAGAAAAAACGCCATAAACATAAACATTTGGCGCTCCGCACAGATTTCTTGGATCCGCGCTGGGCCCCCCCAGCGGCGCCTCCGGCGCCGCCCCTGGCGCGCTCCGCCCGCCAGGGAGGGGGGGGTCCAGCGCAGATTCAAGAAATCCGCGCGGAGCGTCAAAAGTTTATGTTTATGGCGCCTTTTCCCGAATCAGTGCGTGCACTGAAGGGGTCCTTGCGGAAGTTGAAAGATTTGGCGAAAGTTTCCCGCCGATTTTGGTAGCAGGCTGGACTCCTGGGTTCCCGGTTCCGGGTTCCCGGGTTCCCGGTTATTGGTTCCGAGCTGGTTTCGGTGGGTTCTGGGTTCCTGGGCTCCCGGGTTCCCGGTCGATTTCTTCAGCTAAAAGTTTACGTTTATGCTTTTTTCTACTCCAACCAGTGCTTGCACTGAAGGGGTCCTGGCGGAAGTTAAAAGATTTGGCGAAAGGTTCCCGCCGAGTTTGGTAGCAGGCTGGGCTCCCGGGTTCCTGGTTCCGGGTTCCCGGGTTCCCGGTTATTGGTTCCGAGCTGGTCTCGGTTCTGGGTTCCCGGGCTCCCGGGTTCCCGGTCAATTTCTTCAGCTAAAAATTTATGTTTATATTTTTTTCTACTTCAACCAGTGCTTGCACTGAAGGCGTCCTAGCGGAAATTGAAAGATTTGGCGAAAGTTTCCCGCCGATTGTGGTAGCAGTCAGGGTTCCCGGGTTCCCCGTTCTGAGCTCCCGGGTTCTTGGTTATTGGTTCCGAGCCGATTTCGGTGGGTTTCAGGTTCCCGGGCTCCGGGGTGCCCGGTCGATCTCTTTATCGATCTCTTTATCGATCCCATTTCAAATTATCCATTGATTGGGTTTTTTGCTCTTGTGTTAATCTTCTTTTACTCCTGCGGGCCGAGAGAGCGGATCAAGGATCTTTGTCCGCCCCCACAGGCGTCCGTGGACGCCCCCTCTCAGGGGGCGCGCGGAGGCTTGCCCCAGGCGTCCGTGGGCGCCCCTCCTCCGTAGCCCCGCTTGCTCAGGTCGCCGGGCGCCTCCTCCTCCTCCTCCTCCTCCTCCTCCTCCTCCTCTCCTCTCCTCCTCCTCCTCCTCCTCCTCCTCCCCCTCCTCCGTCCTCCTCCTCCCTCGTCTCCTCCTCCTCCTCCCCTCGTCCTCCTCCTCCTCCTCTCCTCCTCCTCCTCCTCCTCCTTCCTCCTCCCTCCTCCTCCTCCTCCTTCCTCCTCCTCCTCCTCCTCCTCCGCCTCCTCCTCCCCGCCTCCTCCTCCTCCCCTCCCCTCCTCCTCCGCCTCCTCCTCCTCCTCCTGGTCCTCCTCCTCCTCCTCCTCCTCCTCCTCCTCCTCCTCCTCCCTCCCCTCCTCCTGGTACCTCCCTCCTCCTCCTCCCCTCCTCCTCCGCCCCTCCCTCTCCTCCTCCTCCGCCTCCCTCCTCCTCCTCTCTCCCCTCTCCTCCTCCTCCTCCTCCTCCTCCTTCCTCCTCCTCCTCACTCCTCCTCCTCCTCCTCTCTCCTCCTCCTCCTCCTCCTCCTCCTCCTCCTCCTCCTCCTCCTCCGCCTCCTCCTCCTCCTCCTCCTCCCCACCTCCTCCTCCTCCTCCTCCTCCTGCTCCTCCTGCTCCTCCTGCTCCTCTGCTCCTCCTGCTCCTCCTACCTCCCCTCCTCCTACTCCGCCTCCTCCTCCTCCTCCTCCTCCTCCTCCTCCTCCTCCTCTCCTCCCCTCCTCCTCCCCCCTCCTCCTCCTCTCCTCCTCCTCCTCCTCCTCCGCCTCCGCCTCCGCCTCCTCCTCCTCCTCCTCCTCCTCCTCCTCCTCCTCCTCCTCCTCCTCCTCCCTCTCCTCCTCCCCTCTCCTCCTCCTCCTCCTCCTCCTCCTCCTCCTCCTCCTCCTCCTCCTCCTCCTCCTCCTCCTCCTCCTCCTAGGCGTCCGTGGGCGCCCCTCCTTCGTAGCCCCACTTGCTCAGGTCGCTCGATGCGGGCGCAACCCCTCCCCTCCCCCCGAGTCCCGCGGCGCGGTCTGGGCCCGCGGCCCCATGGCCGCAGGGCTCGAGGTCGGGGGCTCGCTCGCAGAGGCGGTGGGGGTCCCCAAGCTGGGATCAAGAAGCGAACCTGTCCCCTCCTCCCCCGCCTCTTTACTCCTCCTCCTCCTCCTCCTCCTCCTCCTCCTGCTCCTCCCTCCCCTCCTCCTCCTCCTCCTCCTCCTGGTCCTCCTCCTGCTCCTCCTCCTGCTCTTCCTCCTGCTCTCCTCTTCCTCCTCATCCTCCTCAACCTCATCATCTCATCATCATCTCATCATCATCATCATCATCATCATCATCATCATCATCTCATCATCAGCATCATCATCATCATCATCATCATCATCATCATCATCATCCTCATCATCATCATCATCATCATCATCATCATCGTCATCATCATCCATCATCATCATCATCATCACATCAGCATCATCTCATCATCATCATCATCATCGTCATAATCTCATCAGCACACAGCATCAGCAGCATCATCAGCATCATCAGCATCATCAGCATCATCAGCATCATCAGCATCAACATCAGCATCATCATCATCATCATCATCATCACCGTCATCATCATCGTCATGATCATCATCGTCAGCATCATCATCATCATCATCATCATCATCACCATCATCATCATCATCATCATCATCATCATCATCATCATCATCATCATCATCATCATCTCCTGCTTCCATTTAGGCCTCCCAGATGGGGTCGGAGTGGATGGGGTCGGAGGATCGCGCCGCATCGCCGGTGCATCGGCGATGCGGCTCGATGTGGAGCCCGTGTTTCCCCCACGCCGGCGTCGCCGATGCACCGCCGATGTATCGCCGATGCGACGCGATCCTCCGACCCCATCTACTGGAACCCCTATCTAGGCGGCCTCCAATCCAGGAGCCGTTTAGGGCGATGTCCTCCAGAACCCACCTCTGCCCCCAGACCTCCGACGTCATGAGTTTTTTTTTATGGCGTCGAGCCCCAGAGGTCTGGACCCATTCCCTGGGGCCCGTTTTTCATCCCGGGTGGTTTTCTGACGGCCCCGAGGCGCCGTATACGGCCCCCATGGGGGCCGAAAATAGTTGTGAACCTCCTCCTCCTCCTCCTCCTCCCTCCTCCCTCCTCCCTCCTCCCTCCTCCCTCCTCCCTCCTCCCTCCTCCCTCCTCCCTCCTCCCCCTCCTCCTCCTCCTCCTCCTCCTCCTCCTCCTCCTCCTCCTCCTCCTTGTCACGGCCCGAGGGTGTGTGGGCTCACGTTCCCCTAAGCGCGAGAGTCGACTGCACGTGAGAGCGACCCCTCGCCGGAGTGACCTCCGGTGCGGGCACGCGGCACGCGGGGGTCCCCGGATGGCTGAACGCGATACGATGGCAGCTGCATCGCTGCCCAGGTCTCTTGGCATCCTTCGGGCGTGTGTATTTTTTCCTCGGCGGGGGCCATCGAGGAGCCTCCCGGATCTTCTCACGAACACGTGCGCGCACGAAAAATCGGCGGATGCAGGGGGACATGGCCGCCCGAGCGACGGCGAGGTCTGGCCCCGCCCCCCCGAGCTCCCCCAAAGTCGCGCACGAAAGGTCACTCTTGTCCAGGGTTAAGTCGGCCATGTCCCTCTACAGGAGCAATCTCCAAGAACAGTTTAAAAGAATTGTCGGGGGACGATCCTCCGTGCTCTCTTTTTGGGCTGTTTCTGGCGCATGTTGGTCCTCGAATGTGTTTGGCGCCCTGCTCCCGACGTCCGCCTGTGGGAGGACGTGCCCGACCGAAGCCCAGGGGTCCCAGAGATCCGACGTCGTGATTTTTTCAATACGGGGTCCCCGGAAGCCTCGACCCATTCCCCAGGACCGGTGTTCCATCCCGAGTCGTGTTTTGACGGGCCCGAGGCCCGGCGAGGGCACGAGGCCCGGCGAGGGCCCCATGGAGGCCGAAAACTGCGAAACAAAAATCCGTCATGATTTTTTTCAATGCGTTGGATCTCTGGGGTCGCCTCCTGCAGTGTGCCTGGCGATTCCCTGGAAAATGTGGGAAAATATGGGAAGTGGGGGGAAGACAAAAACTGAGAAGATATGGGGAAAAATGGTGAATCTTTTAATTTGTGTGTATTCATTTGTGTGTCCCAGGGCCCCTTCAAGTGTGCCCCGAAGAGGGCCCGCGGGCGCCGCCGGGCGCGGGCGGCCGCCGCGCCCGCGGCGGGGCCGCGGGCGCGGCGCCGGGGGTGGCCCTGGCGGAGGCCGTGGCCGAGCGCGGCGCGCCGGGGCCCGCCGTCGCCGGGGGCTTTGCAGCGGTGGGGCCCTCGGAGCGGGGCCTCCGAGAGGCTCTCGATCTCGGGAGCCTCGAGCCCCTGACCTTCCAGGAGTGCTAAAAAATAGCCCTCCAGACCTTTGGACTTATCTGTCGGAGGTGGACAGAACCCCCAACAGTGACACGTCGATTCGTGAATTGTCCGTTTTCGGCTCTCGAGAGGGCGCCGTGGCCGTTATTTTCCAGGCTTGCGCCCGCCAGGTTTGGGCCTCAGGTCGTTTTCACTAAACCACGTTTTACTAAAGGGGGGTCTGTCCATCCCCGAGTATCTGGGCTGCCTAGAACCTCGACTGGAATGAAGATGTCGAGGCCCTGGTGCTGTTTTTTAGCCCTCCTGGAAGGTCAGGGGAGACGGGGTTCCAGATGCAGAGCGGGAGCCTCGAGACGGGGGTCAAGATCCCTGACCTTCCAGGAGGGCTAAAAAGTAGCACCAGGACCTCGATATCTTCATCCCAGTCGAGGTTTTAGGCAGCCCAGATGGGTCCAGAGGTCTGGAGGGCTATTCTTTTGCACTCCTGGAAGGTCAGGCATGCAAAGGGGGGTCCGCCGGAGCGCCCGACGTTGCAGGCTCCTGCACGGCCACGGTCGCCTTGCCCCGGGCTTGGGCGCGGGATCCCGCAGGACGGTGCGGGTGCCTTCGCACGGACCCGGGCTTGGGGGCAGGATCTTGCAGGAGTTTGCAGGGCCTGGATGGACCCGGGTCAGCAGATCCCCGACGCTCAGCTGCCTCGATATGTTCATTCCTCCTAGACCCTCCGATTTGATTCGATTCGATGTCGATGGCTTCCGATTCCGATTCGATTCGACTTCGGATTCCGATGTGGGGCTCCGATTTCTCAATGGAGGCCTACTAGCCTGCCGATTTCCGCCGATTCGACTTTTGCCGACTCGGCTGCCGATCTCCGCCGATCCGATTTTTTTCGATCGCCGATCCGACTTATCGATTCGATTCTGGGCTCTCCTGCCTACATGGGGTCGGAGTAGATGGGGTCGGAGGATCGCGCCGCATCGCCGATGCATCGGCGATGCGGCTCGATGTGGGGCACAATTTTCTCCACGTCGACTTCGCTGATGCATCGCCGACGTCGCAAGTGATTGGCCGATGCATCGCCGATGTATCGGCGTTGCGGCAAGATCCTCCGACATCATCTGCTCGACCCCCCCACCTAGGAGGCCTTCAATACGCCCGTTCTGAAAGGCAACATGTACAGGGCTGAAAAAGTCCGTGTCAATACGATGCGTGTTGGCTCCGCGTCTGGACCCACGTTTTGACGAACGCATCGCGTCATGCCTACTTTTTCAGGCTACGTGTTGAGCTGGGTAGCAATACGCTGCCTGTTGCGTGTTGCGTATCGGAGCAGCTCAGCCGAGATGGGGTCGGAACAGATCGCCGCGCCGTTTTTTCCGACGCGCGGCCTTTCGTCTTGAGGAGGGCCCCGCAGACACCAGGTTAAACGCCGCCTCGGGCGCGGCGGATTTGCCGTGGGGTTTGCCGCGGTGCCAGTGTCGTCTCTTTGGGGCGCGGGGCGCAGGGTTTGCGCGGGTTTGTTGTGGTGTAGGCGTCCATTTGGGCGCGTCGAGAACAAACAGCGCGGCGACCGATGGGGTCGGAGGAACGCTCAGTATCGCCGATCGCATCGGCGATGTGGCTCGATGTGCAGCGCGATGTTCTCCATACCGACGTCGACAAGGCATCGCCGACGTCGCCGATGCATCGCTGATGCATCGCCGATGCATCGCCGATGCATCGACGATGCGGCGCGATCCTCCGATCCCATCTACTCGGACCCAATCTGGGAGGCCTCTGCCTGAGGGATGGGACCCGCAGGAGGGGGGGTGGAGCACATGTTGAGCCTTCACTGGTGGAGGTTCTCGTCCTCGGGGCCCCATCCCTGTGGGTCCCACCTTTGAGCCGCCGGCCGTCGCTTCCCTCGGGGAAGGCGGAGCGGCACGAGCATCCGTGCTCGAGGGCCCGCGCGGATCTCCTGGATCGGTGCTGGACCCCCTGGCGGGCGGGGAGGGGGCCAGCACCGCTCCGAGAAGGCCGTGCGGGACCTTCGAGCGCGCGCGCGTCCGTGCCGCCGTTGCCTCTCCTGCACCCGCGAGCCGACCACCGCGGGCCTGCCCCCGCGGGGCAGGTGGAGGAGCCTGGTGAAGTACGTGCTGGACCCTCGGCGGATGGTCCACACGTACTCCCTGCTCCTCCTCATCTGTCTGTTCATCCCCGGCCCCTACTTCGCCGACGCCGCCCTGTCCTCGTACAAGCTGCCGGTGTCGGAGGGCATGCGCCTGTCCAACGAGGAGTTCGGGCTCCTCTTCGCCGTGAGCTCGCTCACGGGCGTGCTCTGCGGCCCCGTGGGCGCCGCCATCACGCGCCTGGGCCGCACCTCCACCCGGGTCGGGCGAAGCAGGGGGGGGGGGATTGGGAAAGTTTAAGGAGGGAGTGCCGTTGCGGCCCCGCCGCCGAACGCTCTCCTTCGATACGCGGGCGCCCCCCGTGCCGAAAGGCGCAGGGAGCGCCAGCCGCGCGAGCTGACTCGCCAAACGCCTCCTCTGCCATCTCCCCCGTCGCCCGACCCGAGCCGTGGCCCTCGGCGCGGGGCTGGCCTGCGCAGTCGGCTCCCTGTTCACGGTCCTGGGCTTCCGCTGGGGCTTGCTGCGCGTGATGCTCCTGGCCCGCTGCGTGTTCTGGCTGGCGCTCAACGCCCTCCTGATGGTGCAGACGCTGCTCGTCTACAGCATCTTCAAGGGTAAGGCCGTGGACGTGGCCTACAGCCTGATCGTGACGGCCTGCCGCCTGGGAGGTGTGCTCGGGTACTGCCTGTCGGGCCCCATGCTCGGCAGGTGCGGCCTCGAGGGCGCCCTGTGGGTGTCTGTCGGCATGGTCTTCCTGGCCTTTGGCGCCACGCTGCTGTTCGCGTACCTCTTCCGAGGCTCGGCCACCGCCCGCTCTGTGCGTCCGCACCTCGAGCGCCGCCGATCCTCTCGCAGCCCAGCGAGCTCTCCCCGCAG